CCAGCCATTCTGTCCTCTGCCAGCAGAAAAGCTTCTGCATGATTGCGGCCGCTTCTTGTTCAAAGCGCAGACTTTTCTGCTTCAACTTGGCGGAAGCTGACGCAGTGACTGAGTGTGTGGTTGCAGTGTTTTGACGCAATGCTGGACAGCTGCTTGCACGAAATCCAAAATGCCGCTGTTGAGCAAAAACTCCGCACCGCCTTCAGGGCCGCCCGAGTCCTCAGCTATCTCGCGCAGTTTGCGGGCAAATCCATCCAGGCAGCAATCAGGCCACTGGAAGAACTTTCGGGCAAAGTCTTCTTTTGATGCCTGGCTTTGCTCTGGATCGATCAGGGCGAGTCCAAGGATACAACAATTTTCGCCAAAGTTGCCCTATAACTACGCACAAGCTTCGCCTTGTCGTAAGGAAAATGCAGTCAGCCCGGGCCCAGCCCCCAACCCGCGGGCTCAGCCCCCTCGTCGTCTCGTCGTCATCTCTGCGGCGCTTAGAAAACCAAGTTGCGTGGTTGAACCACGAATAGTGAATGTGCATCACTGGGGCTGTCAGCACGACCCAAAGACTGGTGGCCCATCCTGACGCTGCGTCCTGCAGAAAGTGTCCGGCCTTGGCTTGGCGGCACACCTTCGTTTGACTCACAGGGGCGCCTACTTCCTCGCCCTCATCTTCGGAATCGTCGTGAACCTGGCCCAAGGCCGCTGATGTGTTGAAACACGTTTCAAAAGCCTTGGGAACGAGTCTGCAAAAAATTCTGCATCATTGTACTTTGGTCCACTTGTTGAGGGCAGGAACCAATATAGGCTTTAGCAGGACCTGCTCTAAGAGCTCGTACCCTTTGGCAATTGATGCGCCTCAGTCAGGAAAGCACTCTGGTCCACTGCAAATGTGAATGGGAGGTCCTGCGGCGCAGAGGATAGTAGATAGTAATATAAAACTATAAATATACTCATATATAAGTTAACAGTACGAAGGGAGGATTGACACATGATGACCATAATGGATCATAGTAAAACAATAACGTAGAGCAAGTAGCCAGAATCACTATTCAAAACACTAGAACAAGGTTATGATAGCAGAACAATATCAGGTAAAAGGTGGGTTGAAGCTTGGGCGATTTTCGGGTGCGTTTAGGCGGGGTGGAGCCAGTTCTTGAGCTAATGCATCCTGTCTGATCTAGGCTACCAGTAGAATATGCAAAGTAATGATGCCACACATGCCACACATAAACTTGAAAAGCAACAGTTCTGCCTTCAAGCTCAGTGATAAGCAAACACAAGCCTACAGGCTACAAACATGACATGATGCCTCTACGCTTCAAGTGCGATGCTCCGGTTTTTTTGTCCTAAGCTGACACTTTTTTACTTTGGGGCCTTGGACTTATGCAGGATTATATCTTGGCGTGCCAGTGATGTTGGACCTTGGGCCTTGGGCCAGCGTAGCAAAACATTGCATCAACTGCTTGAAAGTAAAGGTTCAGCGCCTTGGGTCTTGGTCCTTGGGCCTGGAGGGCTGCATCAATCCAACATACCACTTTCCTAGCCCTATCCTCTGTGGCTGCAACTACACTACTAACTTCAGAACTGCAACAGATTCGAACCCTGGCTTTTTGAAACAATTCACCCTTGCCCCTCCCTACTTTGTTTAGTCTCGTAAAGACTTCATGGCCCATGAATATGATTAATGTGATATTGATGTTGATTCGGGACACTGACTTATGTAGCGTTACACGGCGATCTCACTGCCTACACAGAGCACAGGAACACTCAGCGACCACCCAAAGGCCTAAGCCTGAGCCCTTGCAGCTTCTAAGCTTATAGCCTATAGCCTATAGCCTATAGCCTATAGCCCATAGGCGTAGGGCGCAGCCTAAGCGAAAGAACACAAGACAAAGCTAAGCAATTGTTTTGCTGGCCAGCGTGACAAGAAAGGCTCTTGCGTCGTGACGCGAGGCCAGCTCTACAAAAGAGAGCTTCAGGTACCCGAAGCTCCTGGCCTAAGGCCCAAGCTAGCTCCAACCATGCATAATGCACAATGCTGCCGTATCTTACTACGCGTATTTATCAAAACTTAGAAGTTAAAGAATTGCAGCCGAAGCAGGCAAGTACTGTTTACTTCAACCAAGTCTGCTTGACATTGCGGCTAGAGCAGCGTGGACCTGGATGAAAGCCTTGAAAGTTTGAGAAACCTTCAGGCTTCAAGTTGCTGTTAATGGTATACCGTACATGGCCCATGGCAGCGGGCAAAGGGCAATGGCCATGACCTGGCTCAAAGCCCACTTTAATCAACCGCGGCGGGAGCCCCTACTGGGAGGGGCAAGCTGCCCCTAGGCATCCCAATTGTTCTTCAGGCACTGCGCCAAGCTGATGTTGTTCGCCAGGGCCATGTCAAGAACACCTTGCCCACGTCTGCAACCAGGGGAGTTCAGAAGGTTCTTGACAACGCTGAAAGCGACTCGGCTGTTCTCATTGCCACCGCTCTTGTTGCACAGCGACCAGCACAATTTCTTCAAAACGCGGGTCTGGCCTACGCTTGCAGCCGTGTGGAAGGCAGTCGCGCCTGTGGTGCCACGAGTCCTTGGGTGTAGGAGGCACAGGCAATTGTCCCACAAAACAAATTCACTCACTTGGCACTTAACTTTACAACTTGTAAATGTTGACCTGCGGTTTGTGAATATTTCTGACAAGGATGCTTAGACTACACGCTGAAGTAGAAACATAATGAATCACAATCATTATCTGCTTTGGGCTTTGGGAGCCTAAAATTCAAAAACTCAAGGAGTGCTGAGTTACTCTTATGATCTTATGAACTACCTAACTAGGTACATGAACATGTTACTCATATTGCGTATTATGAATGGCCTGAATGGCTTACAAAAACCCAAAAACCAGGGCTGCATCCAAACAAAAACAAACGCTAACTCTACAGACCCTGCAGCACACAAGTTAATTACTTCTCAACCAAAAGAAACAAGGAACTGCAAGCCTGTCGCGGTCATGTAGCGCAAAATTAGCGGTACTGGTAGTCGTCGCCGCCCAAACTTGCAGGAGGTGCGTCGCAAAGGATCATGAGCGGAGTCCAATTGCCAGCCCTGGCCGACACAGAACTCGTCTGGTCTGCCAGCATGGGCGCGCGCTTAAGCAGGAACTCCAACGCTGGCCCAAGGCCCAGACGACAAAGCATGTGGCACACCGTAAAGCCCTGCTCATCTCGCGCGCTCACCAGGGACGCAACATCTGTATCGGCCAACCACGGGCGCAACGCCTTCATGTTTTTCTTACACATGGCGTCCCAAATCTGTTCCTTCTTCTTCTGCGTCTCAGCCTGCCCTGTGAGCTTGGACAAAAGGGCTTGCTGAGCCAGCCTTTGGCTTTCCGGGAGCTCATAGAGACTTGTCAAGGTCTCTTTGGCTTCGTTGTCATTTGCTGCGCGCAAATCCTCAAGTGTCCTTGCAAGGCCTTCCAAGCTGTCAGCAGCTTCCCCAATCTGCCCGTGGGCTGAGGCGCCATCCTGGCCGTTGCTGGAGCATCCTGACCGGTGGCTGCTTCTGCAACCTGGCCAGAGGCTGCGGCTGCCAGAGGCCGCGGCTGCTTCAGCAACCTGGCCAGAGACCCTTGGCTGGTCAAGTGTTGGCTCTTTCAGGGGCGGCGGCTCAATTCAACCTGCCTCAGGAAATTCGACTGGACCTTACCAGGATCTGGGACTAGGCACCATCTACTAATCAATGAACCAACATGACTATGGAACAATGGACTACATGGACTATACACAAACAAAACAAAACAAACAAAAACTCTTGGACGGGCTTAATCGAGCAATGTAAACCGGAGCACACTACCGCAGAAAGCAACCTTGCAACAATGACAGAATCCACAAACCATGACTCACAAGCTGCAAGGCTACACGGCTACACGGAAAATTTGGGCCCAAGCGGCTAGTGGGCACTAACTCTGCCTCGTCAGTCTGCCAATGCAACGGGCTTGGACGCAGAAGAGGCCGAGGCTGCTTCTCCTGCTGCTCCTGCAGCATTCTGGTCGTGATTCCTACTAGAGTATCACCAGTAGATCAGCTCTAGGCTAGAGGTTATAGGCTGCATGCGGCGAGGCGTTTATATTAGGCCATACGGTCTAATAAGTAATTCTAACTGTAAGGATTTTGTTCTAGTTAGACTCTAGTTAAATCCTTAAAGCCTAGAGCCTAAGGCTATCAAAATCAAAACGCCTGAAACCACCAAATCACATCACATAGCTCAGAATTTGAAAAGTATGATTGTGTAAGGCCTAGATGCGTTCAGGTGGGACGTAGCCACCTACACTACACCTCCTGCTGCTGGCCGACCGTGTCGCCCACTGCGCAAATCGCCATCCTCAGGAACTCGATGGGCTTCCTGACGTTTCGATGCCTCCCTGGCCGAGGCGGGCGCAGGTCGACTATGTTGCGCAGCTTGGACACATACGACCCGGCCTCAGGCCCTGGCTCCCCTGTCAACCTCATCACGGCCAAAGTTGTCAGGGTGGCCGACCGGCGCGCGCCGTTGAACCAACACACTACCTGGTCCAAGACCGCGTGAAGTGGTGGCTGGTTGCGCGTGACTCCTGCGCCGTCTAGAAGCGGCAGCACCCTGACAGCTGCGGTGTCTGTGAGCATAGCGCACTTGGCCACAGGCCACACAGCTTGGATGTGATTGTCCAGGAGGAGGTTGGTGTCAAGACAGGCCCTGGCGCCCCCCCGCCAAAGCTTGGCTTTTCCTGTGTCCAAGATGACGTGCATCGGGTGCCTGCACGGGGATTGAAGCAAACTATGGTTCTGATGGTTCCCACTTCAAGTCTTTTAGGGTTGAGAAAGCCTAGTATTCCTAATATTATTCATAATAAGCTTGAAGAGGGAGCAAGGTGGTTCCTATGCGTCATGAGATATGTTTGGACTAATTTCTGATGACATTGAATTCGCAATAGTCTACTACTCAATATGTTTTCATGTACCCTTTTTGTGAAAAAAAAACATCCTGGAACTGTAAGTGTCTCTGGCCCAGCGCACGGCATCCACTCCACCGTAGGTGTCCGCACACAAAGTTTTCGTCAGGCTCACAACAGCTTCCTTCAGCTGCTCTGCGTTCATGTTCGGACCTGGCCAGAGGCCCTGTGTTGCTGCTGCGCGTGCGTCACAGGGCTCAAAAAGCGCTGGCGCTGGCAGACCTTCTCGCCCAGAAACATCGCCATTTCCTTGTCGGACATTTCTCAACGCAGATGGCCGCCCATGATTAAAGACAAAGGCGCAACAATCAAATTTGGCGTGGGATTTTGAGCTGGTCTGCCAGCTGCACCGCACCAAACAAAGGCTGTCAAGCGTCAATACTCAAATTCGTGCCAATAACAAATAAAAACCGGATAGGCAATAGGGCCAACAGGAACATTCACACAAGTTACAAGTTTGTCACAAGTTGAGATGAATCTGAACACTACTAACCATGAATCATGAAAAAGGACAACATGTAAATACAAAATGTTACGACAACGACAACAGATAGACAGCTCAGAAAACAACACAATGAGTAGTGGGGCATAGGGCACAGGGCAGAGGCATGGCAACGGCAAAGTCAAGCGGCAATCGGCAATAGCATTATATAGACTGTAAATTATATAGCTATATAATACTAATACGCGGCAATAGCAGTGGATTTCTAGGCCAAACGCTCAGCTTGTCAAACTGCAGTGCCAAATAACACCTACACCAATGCACCTGAAGCCCCCCAGCCCCAAATTGCTTCAAAGAAAAAACCTTGGAACACCAAACCCCCAGGCCGCCTAAAACAAACCAGACTGCATACTCAACCCTGCTTTCTGGTCTTCATTCATTAGATTAGACTCTAAGACCCCAACAATGTAACACAAGTAGCTGAAGAACTAGAAAACTGTGTAATCTCCAAACTCTACTCCACCGTAAACCGTAAATCGCAAACCACCCCCATCCTCAGTCCTGTCCACGGGCCACTGAAGAAGTTCGCGAAAGCTTCCACAACGGCGGAGCTATCAGGGCGAAGGCCAGGGGATGCATTTGAGGCCAAGTCGGCCAAACCTTCCAGCAGCAAACGCAGGGTGAGCTTTGCTTGCTTTTTTGCTTGTGACCACTCAGCCTGCACGCCAGGTGGCTCTTCGATTAAAATGACCAAGTCTTGCTCCAACTGCTTTTTTACAGCTTCTTTCAAATCCTTTAGGAAATTACCTTTGCTACTGCATTTGGCCCAGCAATAGGAACCTGGCAAAATGCCGAGAAGTTTCGTTATTTGTTCTACAACGTTGCCGTTGCGATGTTGAGCACAAAGCATGGGCAGCAGGAAGCATTGGCTTGGACTGCGCGCGCGAAGGTGCTTAAGCAACTTTATGTTGGCAGTGGCCTGATCACACGTTATCACAACGCACGGATAATCTGCACGCGCAAACAGATTACCCGGCCCAAGGCCACCTGATCCAAAGCGCGAGGGCTGACCACACGCAGGAAGCAGTCTTATGGGGCAACGCTTGAGGTAGCCTGACGATGTCCAAATCCTGCACCTCCGCACCATCCAGCGCTACGCTCAGCTGAGCATGCCATGGAAGTCTTGTAACCATATGTTTAACACGCCCATGACACCACGATGATTCACGATGCCTCTTGCCGCGGAAGAGTCTGTGTACGCTTTCAGCTCTGTAGGCTTTCCTGCTGAAAAGGATACTGCTTCTCTGATTCCTATTGCTTCATTCACTGCTCCAGTAAGTGCGCAATATTCGCTTTCCCCTGAGCTGAGGGCCACCGTCCGTTGGGTTCTTGAATATGAATAGACAAACTGCCCGTTCAAGAAGATGACGCTTCCGCTTACTGACCTCCGATTGGACTTGTCACCAGTCCAGTCAGCATGTGAAAACACTTCTAGGGGGTGTTCTTCTTGCTCGGTGCTGGGAGCTTCTTGTTCATCATGAGGATCTTTTTTGTTGCTTCTCAAAACTGAAGTTCCTGCTGAAGCACACGAATGGCTTTCCTGAGGTACAAGGCGCAAGGTTCCAATTCTTTGTACTTCTTCTTTGTTGGATTTTCATTGCTGTTGCTAGATTTCTCACTGCAAATTGAACATCAGGTCGATCTTGTCCAACATATAGGAGAACACCAACACAGCCTCTATAAATACGCGCTTCCTTCTCATTCTACTTTTTGCTGTTGTCAACTTCTGAGACATTCCCAGGCGCAGGAATGTTCTTCTCTTTCCTCTTTTCAAGTCCGAGATTCTCCAAAAGCTTGGTAACGTACGCTATCTGGGCGAACAAAAAGCTTGCCATCTTCAAAACTGTACTTGCGCTTGAGGAACCTGGCTGAGGATGTAGAGTAAGCATTCTTGTAGTCTAACTCTGTAAGAAACGGTCCTTCTACTCGAAGTTTCACTTTGCCTGCTAAATTCTCGAAGAAGGGCCGCTTCAGGAAGGAAGGTGATCATGCTGGCAAAGTTTGCGCAGCAGAAAACGCCTCCTACGCGGAGGCTCTCTCGGCGACTGGCTCGGCCCCACTGCTCTCCAGCTGCTGCTGCTCCAACTTCTTCCAAGAATCCGAACATGTCTGTAGACTGGGAAGGATTTGGACGAAGACCAGACCAACCCTTTTGGGGGACCCAAAGCAGTGCTATCCAAAGGAACCTTGATAAAGCGCAAGTCGATGCTACCAGATTTGCCGCCCTTGCCCAAAAGCGAGTTTTGAACTTTGGCTCCAGCCTCTGCGCTGGTTCCGATCACAACGTCAGAATCTGAAGTCTCAACGACCCATCCACTCAATGACACTGTAATGTCGCCAGCTCCCTGGCACACCACGTACACTATGTCTCCAGATTCCGCCACGGCGAACTAAGCCAGTATCCCCTGAAAAGCTTGAGCAGGGGGCCCGGCATTCAGCTGATGATCTGTTGTCCGAAGTGATGAAGCCACCTGAGCATCAGCACACAACGTCAGGAATGGCCCTTTGTAACCTGACATGGAACACGAATGAGATTATGGTTTGGGCATGGATGCGACGGGACGGGAACCGTATGCTTGGAGCACGAACGAGATTATGGATGGGCATGGATGCAAAGGGAACCGTATGCTCTTGGAGCACGAAGGAGGTTATGGTTTGGGCATGGATGGAAAGGGAACCGTGTGCTCTTGAAGCACGAAGGCGATTATGGTTTGGGCATGGATGTAAAGGGAACCGTACGCTCTTGGAACACGAAGGAGATTATGGTTTGGGCATGGGCGCAACGGTAACCGTATGCTCTTGGAACACGAATGCAACTATGATTTGGGCATGGATGTAAAGGTAACCGTATGCTCTTGGAACACGGACGCAATTATGGTTTGGGCATGGATGCACTGGTTTCGAATGCTCTTGGAACACTTGGGCATGGATGCTCTCCTAATCGCACTCACTTGCACACGAATGGAATTATGGTTTGGGCATGGATGTAAAGGTAACCGTATGCTCTTGGAACACGAACGAGATTATGGCTTGTGCATGGATGCAAAGGGAACGGTATGCTCTTGGAGCACGAAGGAGATTATGGTCCGGGCAGGGATGTAAAGGGGACCGTATGCTCTTGGAAGCAGATTATGGTTTGGGATGGATGTAAAGGTAACCGCATGCTCTTGGAACACGAAGGAGATACGGTGACCGTATGCTCTTGCAACACGAAGGAGATTATGTATGAACCAACCCCCCCAAACCCCCAATCCCCGCCGCAAAATCTCTTCAACCACACGGCCTCAACATGCATCCATGGTTACCTGACAGTTCTCAAGATTTTCCATTCTGCAACCCAGACCTTTTCAAGGGTGGCCCGTTGTCCTGTCGGCAGACCTCTGTACAGCTTGACAAACAATTCAAAATGCTGTGGTTGGCACAGAAACATGGGATCCTGTTCACATTTGAACCCCAAGATCATGGGAACCTCAATGGAGCCCACACTCTTCAAGACTCCAGCAGTCATCCGCGCTCGCATTTCACGCAACTGTCCCTGCGGAAAGCCCATTTGCTGATGTCCCCAAACCGCAAAAGGCAGCACATTAGTTTTTAAGCAAGCGACTTTGTTGTTTTTGGGGAAAACTTTTCGTTTCCGCAACCTGGACAAACCCATAATAAGTCGGCGAGCACGCTGTTGCTTGACAATCCTGCGCCTACCCAAGGTGCAATCAAGGCCCAAATCCTTAAGCACAACTCCGACTTTCAACATGCTGCTGCGCCATTTTAGTTCAGCGGCCAACTGCTTAGCAACACAAGCTGAGCTGCGTAAAAAACTGGTTTCTCCACCGAAATCCTGAGGCCATCAGCGGCCAGGCACTGCGTGAAATTCAGCGACCACTCAGGCTTCCTGCACAGCTTGCATTTCATCAAAATGGAAAACATCAGCACCAATGTCATCAACCAAACAGGTGACCATTCTTGGCACTCGTCTGTAATCACAATACAGCGAGCGCAACACATCATGGAGTTGCCCTTTTGCCAAGTAGACCGAAAAAGGGTCACCAGCGACAAGAGAAGCAGCCTGCCGAGAATATGAACAGCGTCAACAAACCAAGTAAAGTGATACGGGAGGCCGTACTTTGAGGCAGGTGGGCTCAAGGCTCAGCCACATTAAAGGTCTTTTCCATCGGCTCTTCTGTCTCTAAAGAAACTATTGGGCAGTAGCATTGTTTTTCCTGAAGTCCTATGCGATGGCAGCTGGCACTGCGTATGTGGCTTGTGAAAGGAGCTACAGCCGAGCCATGGGCGCAACAGACAGGTGGGTGGCCAGCCCAGGGCTGGCCTGCCTTCACCATCCCCTCGCCCCACCAACACCAGTACTGGAGGCGGGCAGGGCTTTGGCAACGGGGAAGAATACGCGGTGGATCAATGGAAAGACTTGGTGGCAGCCCATGTTGCGGGTTGTCCGTGATACTCTATTCCCGGCTTTGCGCACAGAACCGCCACAACCAAGGGCTCCACAAAAAGCCAAAAAGGTCTGGAAAGCGTTCAAAGAAACGGCAAAGCAGAGAAGTTTGTCTTCCAGATAGCTTGCCCGGCCGGCAAGGCTAAGGAAACTTGGCCAAGGTGGAAGAAATCGGAAAGCAGTATGAGGAGAAGGTCATCAGGGCCAATCTGCTGGAGCCGCCAGCGCCGGAGCGGGCGAGCGTGGAAGCGGTTGGCCAAAGAGTGGCTGGAGACCAGGAGCGGCAGACACAGGCCACGCAGGCTGAGTTGCAACAGAAGGTGGCCTGCCTCCAGGCGACGGTGGAAACCATGCAACAACAGCAGATTGAACAGGATGCCAAGATTTCTGAGCGGTTACAGGCAGCAGGAGAGCAGGCGGTCAGAACTGGAAAAGCTTCTTTCAGGGGTCCGGAGACTCGTCATCGGACAGATGCATGGTAGGCGGTCCCCGTAGCCGTGGGTAACCGTCCTTAAACCCTATAACTTCGAGCTGACAAATTTCGTCGCCCTGGCGCAACTTGTCGAATTATTCTTGAGGTTCAACCATGATTCCAAAACGTCTGGATTGATCTATAGTTACCCATACCTCATCCGTACCTTTATCCCACTGCATTACTGTACCCGTCAGGATATCGCCTTTGTTCAGGCGTGGCAAATACAACTCATACTCTGAGTCGTCATCCCTTTCATTCTTAGATCCCCCTGGCGTTGGATGATTCGTGCGCTCTAACCCGTCCGGATCCAACGCTACGTAGGTCTCTTTTACTTCTAACACTGCCATTTCGAGAATGGGGTCATTGAGCTCCATCATTGCCAGAAAACTGGGATCTGGCGACAACTTGCCCCACATGTTAGCCTGGAGGGCCACCCAGATGAAATCTCTGCAAATGGCCGCAATCTTTCCACTCACCACATCTCCGGCGGTCAACCATGGTTTCTCGGCACAACCTGAGGGAACATCATCCTCTTGACTGGTCACATCAGGAAGGGGCCGCGGTATGCTAAGAGCTGGATAGCGACCTTGCTCATCTAGATACGTGTTCTCCCCAACATCCATGGCCACTGCAATCATCGATTTAGGGCCTTGAGGAGTAGATTTACCACGGAAATCGGACGTGTGGAAACCGGAGTTTGGATAGAACCACTTCACCCTCAACTCCAGACAAAATCTTCAACTTTCCGAAATGAACACCGGTTATGGTCGTGTTGACTCTCGAGGAGTCGTGAAAGGGCTAACCTCAGAGGAACATGCCATCTTATTGCGGGCCGAAAAGAATGAAGTTAGGGCACTTCAGCATGGAGCCGAAGTTAGTAATATGGCGCCGGGTTTAGTCCAAGTCAGCAGTAGACAAACTGTTGGTCAGGCAGATCGGCTGAGCGCAAAACCCTTAACTGGCGTGAATGTGCCTGGGTTTCCCGCCAGCGCGTGTGCGCTGGAAGCTGCAGCTCCAGCCATGTCTACGGACGCGTATCAAGGTAGACATTTGGATGATAACCCAAAGAGAGAAAAAGGTCACATGAAGGTTTACTTCGTGATGAAATGGGTTCTCGGACTAAGGCTGAAGAAAATCCAGCGTTAGAGGAAGCTCTTAGGGCGTT